CTTTTCTCCACATGCGAAGTACATGCCTTTCAGATGGTTTTTCTTTATACACAGTTTTACTAATTCTCAAAATGTATTCTACTTATGAGAATAAAGATTGGAAAAGAGATTCAAACCCACCCTTCATGCTTAAAATGCTTACTACAGATCAACAAAAAAATCAGAGAAGCTGCCTTTATATCCGGGCATTGAATGGACTAATATATTTTAATGGTCCTGACCAGTCCCAACTGGAGTCTCCACCTACACCCTCTGCTCCATGGCCCTGCAGCTCTGTTTAAGCTCAGCCCTGGGCCATCAGTCTCTACTTGAGCTGGTCTCCAGCCATGCCTATGCCCACGCCTGTGCTTCTGCCCAATCTTGAGAAGAAACTTATGGGATTACAATAGAGTTACTATCTGAAGCCTGGAATTGTCAGCAGATAAGAACTGCTAGGCACGCTACTGACAATATGCTAACATGTCAGTATATGAAAATTTAAAAGCTGTATGTTTATAACATTTAAATAAAGTTGCATTTAACTGAAAAGGCAGCAACTTTTTATTTTAGTCCCCATTTAGGTCAAGGTTTATATCCTGCAGATATTTTGGGGATAAATTGACTTGGACTACTTTCATGAAAACTGAATTTCAGCTGAATATACTGTTCAAGTGCAATGGTTCCCATAGCTGTACCTGCTTGGACTTCACATTCTTTGGCAAGCGTGTGTGTGACAGCGTGACATTCATTTTACAGCAAAGCAGCTGCAGCACTGGCCTGAGAATGGAGGAAGACGAGCTTAGCAGCTTTTTAAGACCTGGAATTAAAATTCTATCAGTACACCAGGGAAATAATTTTCAGGGTGTCTTCAGAAATAAGTAAGTTCACTAACTACTACTGCAGCTAAGAAACTCTAAAGATTATAAAGATATCTTATGAAATAACTAGACTGAAACTGAGAACCAAGGCAGGTCACACAAATAATGCCTCAAAGTGCAACAAATTCTGATTTGGGATACTATTTAACTTATGACTTATTTTTGGATTTTGAAAACTTCAAACATGCAGTTAGGCCTCAACCGTCCTCCTAAGGTACAGATAGTTATGAATACAACCCTTTAATACCATGTTTAAAGATGCTTCTTGTACAGGTGTGGCATCAATTTGTTTTTATTTGTCCTTCCTTCTGATTGACTTTTAGGCACAGAGGTGAATCATTAAAGTCCTGGAAAAAAAGGCTGCTGTACTACACACCAACCAGCCTGACCATAGTCCCCAGGGCAGTTATAGCATAAATATATCATAAATCCTGTTGGAAGCTGTGCCTAGGGCAAGGGCAGGAAGGTGGCTGGAATAGCCATCATAGATTTATGAAGGGAAAATCATGCATGACAAACCCAATCTCCTTCCACAAGGAGATGACCAGCTTAGGCTAGTATAGCAAATGTTGTTTTCCTTAACTTTAGCAAGGCCTCTGACGTGGTTGCTGTGGTATTCACAGCATTATCATTAAAATGCTGAGACATGCCTTGGTTAGATGGGTTGTAGAGTGGAAAATTGCCTGCACCGTGAGGCTCAAAGGGTTGTGATCAACAGTATGAAGTCCAGCTGGAGCCTGATTACTGGCGACACTCCTCAGGAGTCGGGATACAGTGGCTGATGCTGTTTAAAGCATCTGGGCATAGATGACGGGACAGTGGGCCACACTGGAAGTTCGAGGAGGACCCAAAAATCTAGGTGCAGGTCGTTTGTAAGGCTGTTGTTTAAAGGAAACTCAATAGGCTGGAAAAATGGTCTGGCTGCTGACAAAGCTCGACAAAGAAAAATGCAAAGTCATACAGCTGGTGACGGAGCAATGCCATGTCACAGCACAGGCTGGGGCCAAATGGCAAGGCAGCAGACCTGGAGAAGAAGACCTGTCGTTCTGGTGGATGGTAAGTTGACGACGAGTCAGCAGTATGCCTTGTTGCAAAGCAGCCTACTATTGCTGTTTGACTTACACTAACAAAAGGTGAAGCGAAGTGATTCTGCCCTTCTATCCCAGCACTTGTGTGACCACTTCTGCATACAGTTGGGATCTCCGCTACAGGAAGGAGACTGACACACTGGAGAAAGTTCAGTCAAGGTCCACCAAGATATTCAGACCACAAAAAATACAGAAGACTCTTCAGTCTTAGACTGTGGGAGAAGAAAATCTTCTCAATGTTACAAACTACCTCTCAGAAATGCCTGGAAATGAGGGAACCAACCTCCTCTTGCAGATGCATACTGACAGCACGAGAGACAATGGATGCAAGTTGCAGGTAGTTAAATTTAAACTAGATATTGGGAGACACTTTTCACAATGGATAGTCAAACACTGGACAAGGTTGCCCAGAGAGCTTGTGGGAGCTCCATCACTGAAGATGCTCAGAATTCAATTGGACAGGATCCTGAGCAACCTGACCTAAGCTGGGATTGCTTTGAGCAGGGGTTTACACCAGAAAGTTTTCAGAGGTTGGCTTCCAACCAAAATTATTCAATATATCTAAATGGATGCAGCAGGCTTAAAAGAAATGTTGAGTCACGTGCAGATGTGTTTAAAAGACGTGTAGATGTGGCACTTAGGGACATGGTTTAGTGGTGGACTTGGCAGTGTTAGGTTAATGGTCAGACTCAATGGTCTTAAGGGTCTTTTCAACCTAAATAAATTATTCTAATTATTCTATGATTCTGTGATTTTAACTATGTAATCAGTATCAAAATAGCAAAACTAACTTTGCTTGAATGATGGAGGCCACCGAGCTGAAAAACAGCTTGGCAGAAAAGGCCCCGGGCATGCTTGTGGACACCAAATTGAACACAAACCAGCACTGTGCCATTGTGGAAAAGAAGGCTGCATTAGGCAAAGCGTTGCCAGCAAGTTGAGGGAGGTGATCCTTCCTCTCTGCTCAGCCCTGGTGAGGCCAAAACTGGAGTCCTGTATCCCATTCTGGGCTCTCCAGCACAAGAGAGGCATGGGCATACTGGACAGAGTCTAATGAAGGGCCACCAAAGTAAGTAAGGGATGGAGCATCTCTCCTATGAGGAAAGGTTGAGAGAGCTGGGACTGTTCAGCCTGGAGAAGAGAAGGCCTGAGGGGTTTTATCACAATATATAAACACCTGTAGGGAGGATGCATAAAGGACAGAGCCAGGGTCTGTTCAGTGGTACCCAGTGATAGAACCAGAGGCAACAGGCGTGAACTGAAGCACAGGAGATTCCCTCTGAACACCAGAAAACATGCTTTTACTGTGAGGGTGACCAAGCAGTAGAACAGGCTGCCCAGTGAGCTTGTGGAGTCTACATCTTTGGGACTACTCAAAAGCCATGTGGCCATGGTCCTGGGCAACTGCCTCTAGGTGTCCTAGAGCTTAACCAGGGGCGCTGGACAAGATGACCTCCAAAGGTCTTTCCTATCTCTGTCATTCTGTGTGTAAATTAAGATGTTTTAATGGGTCTGAAAGACCTGATAAGGAGTCCTTATAGGGAAAAAACCAAAAGGCTTCCGTGAAAAAGAAACTCACTGTAAAAAGAAACAAGCTTCTCTGTGCTGGAAATGCAACATATCATTGCTAAAGAAATTAGAAAGTATTGGAGATAGAGAGAATGCAACATGGATAAGGATAGTTCCATTATATGCAAAACAGCAAACAGTTCTGGGAACACAGACAATTCAACATTTACTGCAAGGAAAAGTAGAAGAAGCTTTTGCAAATTCTATCATTAGACTATAAAATACACTGCAAAGCTCTCAGTAGTCTTGTTTTGTATAATCTCGACACATTACCATATGCAAGTCCTTACCCATGTTGCGGGCTATGTCTCCCAAATTAAGTCTGCATATTCGTATGCCAGTAACCATGCATGTTACAGATCCCTGGAACAAACTAGCTTTCCATGTAAGTACACAGAACTATTAAAAAACATTAAGTACGTGTTTCAGAAATCAAGAACTGAGATGTCAAAATATTTTTACCCCCTAAGATGCAAGAAACCTTCTGGTATCCAGTGATGTCTAGAAATTCTGCAAGGACCTTTCCTGCTCCTGCTGTTTAAATCCAGTTGTGTGATGAACACTATCCATGCACTCCATCGTACAGCAAAGAACTGTATCATGAGGTAACGTGAATAAAATTATATACTAACCATGGCATTACACAAAGGCTTGTCTGAGAGATAAAGTTACACAGGTACTACAGCGCTGTTTCGATTATCTACAGAGTGTTTTGCTGATATGACGCATTCCTCCATGTCCCTGCCTGCTAGTATGCTTAAGTTCGCTCAGCATCCCTGCCTTCATCATATATTTAAATTCGTATTTACATCATCCTTACAGCATTAAAAATATGCATAAAATCTCCTTCTTAATGAATCTTTCCATAAAGGAATTTTAAGATACTTGAGGTTATTCATAGCTTTCCATTTCACCAGATGTTCCAAAGCTGAGGAAGTTATATTTTATAGGATTGAGAGACATACTCTCCTTTTATATGCTCTTTCAGTTTGCTGGCATTCTATTACCTTCTGTTACATTCTATTACTATTTGAACCAGCATGAGAGAACTAGGAAGACTTTCTACAGTTTATTGTCTGTCATTATTTAAATTTTTCATAACTATTCCTGCCTACAAATACTAGAGTGCAAAAGAGCTTTTGTAATCCACTATTCAAAATACATCTTTTCCACACAATTTATGATTACTGACATTAATCTATTTAATAAATAAAGGTGTTAATGATGGAACTCATCTGTCTCAATTATATACCTCATCATCATCAAAACATTTATTATTCCTCATACAAGACTATCTTCTCATGTGGCTATATCATCCATAAGTTTTCTCTAAATATTTTCAGAAAATTTATAATTTCAATTGAATTTCCCACAGAGGGTATGAATATTGGATTAATTATAAGTACCATATGTTGAAATTTTACATTTTCAGAAAATGTTTACAGTATGGAAAAGAAAAGGAGGTCTGTTCAGACTTTTTTCTTACCTGAGTGCCCAAACAAGCAACCATCATGTGCGTGAGAAGTTTAGCTGCAAACATTGCACACCTGGTGCAGAAAAGGTGGGAGATAATAGCCAAAGTGAACCCTAGAAAAAAAAAAACAAAAAAAAAGGGGAGAGGGAAATGTAAAGCTTAGGCTAATACACTATGCTAAATAACAATAACAATGCTGGATCTCTTGAAGGTGCAGAACATTAAAAAACAAAAAAAGCCCCAAACCTTACAGAGAGAGTATGTTCACTTTGGTTCACACTGGCATCACTTATTAATTTATTACCAAAGTACTAACATCTACTTAACTTTTTCATAGGCTTGGGAGCAAAAATAATTGCATAATGTAAACAAGTAATTTCTGCAGTCTTTTTTTTAATTTCTGCATGGTATGTCATAATAGTTAAATATCAAGCGAAGGTAACTCTTCAGTGTTCATATTACTGCATCCAAAAATGCTTTTGAAAACGAACAAATAAAAAATGCCTCCATCTGGGTAGCATTGTTTGAGGTGATAGCTCTAACCTTCACATGCCAGTCTCCCACTTCATCGCTGTTCAGCGCAGAAATCTGTTATAGCAGTACTCAGAAAGAATAACACCACTTTTCATTTCATTAGTTCATTGTGAACATGAACAGAAGAGAAATGGGACGGGCCCCTTACCTACCAGTAAGTAGTTCTTAGAAGAAGGACCCTGGGAAAGCTACGCCACTAAGGAGAATGCTGCCAAAGCTCATGCAGAGTTAATTGTTGGTGCACTTCCACACCCCAGGAAGGGCAGAATTTGGATACTTAAGGCAGATCTTTTATTCTCTTTTGAGACAGACCGGTTGCTCAACTACAAGTATTTGTAAGATATGACTAAAATAAATCATTGCAGACAGAATTCTTTCTAAACCTTTGAAAGATTAGCTAGTGATTTTTTTGCAACTATCTACATAAGAAAATTTCAGAAATAGTAATATTCTGTTTCACTCTATTGTGCTATTTTTTCTCCCCCCCCCCCTTTTTTTTTTATTCTTCACACCTAGGCGGAGACGTTAGAGAAATAAATAATATCCTTATAACTCTTAAACCTAAAGCAATTTGTTAATTGAAATAATAGATTTAAATATATATAATCACATAAGGAAGCACCTTACACCAGCCAGAGAAGCTGAAAGGCATTGCAGTTATATGCAAGGTAAACCCCTAATCAGGCTAAACTGTTCTAATTTTTAAAATACATTCTTACAACACAACTACAGTAAATGACTATTGCTGAGCAAGGATCTGAAGGTCTTTATTTCTTCCAGTTCAGGAAAAATTTTCTTAGCTTCAGTTTTTACAGCATATTGGTTTACTTTGTAGTGTTTTTTCCTTCAGTTTTGATGTCGTTTTGTATTCTATGGCATATGTGTCTCATCAATTTGTTTTTTCTGGGGTAATCACATTTGTTTATTATAGTTCTTTTTTTTTTGCTTTCACTAACACAATCTAAGTTAGAAGCTTAATTGTATTTTAAAATCTGCTAATTTTTATCTGCTAAATATTCTTTCATCATTGTTAAATAAAACAATCGATTTCTATGAAGCAGGTGAAAACCAGAGTTTTCTTATCTTTTATTTTCTTTTTTATGGCTGAGGTTTTAAAACAATTAAGGAGCCTAGCTTTAGTCTGTTAGGGCAGCTTGCTGGGTGGGAATGAATAGGGGATTTCACTGTTTGCACTGTTTTTGTTACTCATACGGTGGTGACCCAGTATAGAAGTCATAAATCTCACAAGGAGCAGACTCAGAACACCATTTAAGTGTCTTAAGGTTAGACTAAGAATCCCTTTAGCATTTTTTCTTAGTGACCCTGTTACTCTTAGATTCCTGCTTTCACAGCGCTATCAACACAAGAAGAAAAATTTACTTTCATCCTGATTGCCTGCAACATAATAGTGAACTGACTGCACTGTGAAAGGTTAATTTCCATCTCCTTCAGAAGGCAAGCAGAGTTTAAAACTTAGGTCTCAGGTCTGACATTTTGGGACTTTGGCAAATGCTATTGTAGCTGTCAATAAAGTGAGTCATGGTCCTCATAGGAAAAACTCTTGGGCTTCTCCCAAGATGTCAGAATGCAGTTAGGCAACAGAGTATAATGGAGATTTACACACATGATATGGAATGTATCTCCTTCAAGGTATCGCTTCTGAGTATAAATTGTCAACTAAAATCACCAAAAAGCTTTCAGGCTAGGTTGAAAAGTGTCTGAAAGACGTAATGAGGAGGACAATTGTACTGCTGCTAGAGATACAGGTGAATTTAGGATCTTTAACTTTCTTCCTCCAAATGAATGACATATTTCTCTTTTGTATGGTTCAAGAAGGAAACATATTTCTTTGCTAGACTTTTTTTTCCAGGTGCAAAATTTGTCAGTGTGCAAATACCATAGCAGCTGGCGACTTTAATACCATGAAGGTAGTTAACAATCTTCCCATACCCCCCCCAAAAAAATATTTTCCTCAGTTACTAAAATCACTAAAAATCAATCAGTCTTACCAGTCATCAGTTGTTATGAATGAGAAAACTGTCTTAAATCAACTGACCTGAAATGCAGATGAATCCAGAAGAGAAAAAAGCCTCATTGTATGAAGACAAGTTATCTGTTTGGGCGTAAACTGCATAAACGGACATATGAGAACAAGAGCATTCCACATAGTCTGACGTGTCATCAACCACTTTGCAAAACCCGCTATCAGACAGCCAGCTGCAAAACAAAAGGTTCACAAAATTGGAAATGGACTTGTGTAATTTATGAGGTAAGCAGGCTTGAAAATTGTTGTTGTATCTCTGAAATACCAAGTTGTCTAAACTATTGCACAGGTCTTTTCTTCCAGGTGCAGTTCTTGGAATAGCACATTTACATGAAATTAAAATATGATTTATAGCTTTTTTTACTTTTATGATTGAAAAAATTGTAAATCTATGATAATGTACATTTTTTTCCACTAGAGAATTTTTGTGGCCATGTTTTTAAAACTTCTGCAAGATTTACAGGTCTGTCTGACTTTCCAAATAGTTTGTTATTTAACTTGCACAATACCTTACCCCATTATGGAGAACACTTCATTTTATACTGCTGTTTGTTGTTTTGAAACTGAAATTCATGTTTTGTTTTCTTTCAGTTTTGCTGAACTGCTTTTGAAAAAGGGTACTACAGGAGACATCCTAAGCCATTTCTAGTGGAAATGATGGCTGGTCTGTGATATAGGATCTAGATAAAAGGTAAACATACAGGTAAATTCTGCTGCATCTCCTTGCTGAAGAGAAATAGTTTGTATCAGTGACAGACTGATATAATCCAGTCAGCCTAATGAAATCATATCAAAACCAACTAGACCTCAGCAGGACACAGACCATAATTATCTCCAAATTAATTTATACTGTGCGAACAGGAACAACACAATTTAATCAAATAATGGATCATTGAAGAGCATACACAGAAAACTTTATTCCATGGTTTGCAATGGTATGTGTAGCAACACGAATGGAAAATAACCAGCAGTTCACCATTTCTTCTAAAAACCAGAAGACACCAACTTAAGCTAGTAGAAGCAATATTTTAAAAAAATAAATAATTAACAAGAGGTGGCTTTTCTGCCAAAAAGTCACAGCCCTGTAGATATCACTGTCAAATAATGTGCTAAAATTCTGGATGGTGCAAGGAAAGACTAGAAGAGATGTTTGTGGTAGACAAATCATTCGGGGTACGAAATACACAAAATCACATTCAGCTCTCAGAGTCACTGGAGAGTGTCGTATTAGGGGAACTAGTATTTATGCTAGTCCTGATCTTACTCTTCCCTTGACATTTACGTTTAGCCACTACTGGAGACAGGATACTGGTCTAGATAAATCCCTAGTCTGCCCTTTAACATTTTTCTTTGTTCACTTACAGAGTGTTTTTCACAGACCCAAAGAACAGAGCTGATATTAGCAAATTAGGAACATTCTGAGACACTGACTTGAAGCAATACCAGAGATGCAGGTTTAATTCTCTGCTTTTGTAAGAACGGACTTGAAGTTCTGCTTGATAAGAACTGTAAAGAGTACAAAGTCATTAATAATAATGAAGTGATGCCATTCCTGGGATTTATGGCCTGTCAGCATTGCCTAACACAACATTACATAGTCTAAATAGTATTTTCTTGAAAAAAGTCACAAGTAGAAGTCTGAGAAATGTCTGAGCTAGAATAACTACGCATTTTATTATATGGAAAGTTTTATGTGCTGGTACAAAGGCCAGAAAAATTAACAAAAAAAAGACAAATAGGAAATTGATCAATTTTATACTTGAAAATGATCTAATTGGAGTCACATCTTATGCAAATACAAAACTAAGCAAATTAATAAAATAACCTTTCAGCGGCTTGATTCCAGAGGAGACATAGAGACTTTTGCGGAACAATCCGACTTCCTGTAGCATAAATCCGGTAAATTACTTCACTGTTATCTTTCAAAGGCTGTGAACTCCGACCCTTCAAACTCATAGAAAAAACCTGAAACAACACATAAAACGTAAATACAAATGTAATATTAAAATTAAACAGTGCTCATTTTAATCGGAGACACACAAAAATGTTCACATTATTTTAAATACATTTAAGATGTTTTGGCAACATCTGAGTTAAATTCATTTATTGAAAACATAAATTGCATTATCTTCAAACCTTGTTCTTCAGGGCAAGTTCTTTATCTCCAGTAAGGAACCACTGCTGACTGCTGTATTCTGTGAACTGCACAGATTCACAGCTCTCTTCTTGAGGAGGTGATAATACAACAGAGACCTCTAGTAAATGTTCAGGTACTTGAATAGAATCCCCATCTTTTCCATCAAATCTGTGTCCATTGATTTGCTGAGGAAACCAGTTGTGAGCCATTATTGCAATGTATGGGCAGCTATCAAGGATATTTCTACCTCTGTTGAAATGGAAAAGCAATAGGGCTGGTAAGTGGAACCGAGCTTCACTATTCTTCACAGAATGACTCTAAAATGTATTTGTAATTAATACTTTATTCCTCCATCATTTTTAGGCTTTATCACATTCGATAGACAGGCAGTTTCAGTTTCTGTGAAAAAAAGGGGGGCTGAATTATTATGTACTTCAGCTTCCCCATTTCCCTTCTGGGTTTTGCTCGCTATGATTTGCAGCCACAACCCCTCCATGGTAAACTAGGTGATCAGAATATTCATCTTTATAACTTGTTATAGAGATGAGTCTACAAGAAGGAGAGACATTAAAATGGATAATCTCGCTTTACCTCTTATTCCCAACAGAGGATGGAAAAAAACTTAGAATAAAGAATTTGAACTTTCGAGTTCTGGGCACTGTTCAGGATAGTGCTGTCTTTTGGCTGAGATGGGTTTCATACCCCCTACAACTTAGAAAATGGCAAGAAAAGTTACATCCCCAAAAGAAGTTAAGATAGAAATAGAAACCATGCTGATCTTCTGAAGGGAAAAAAAGGTGTTTTTTTCTAAATTCGACTACCAGTTGTTTAATAGATTCACAGTGGGAGAAACTATCTGTCTCATAAAAGTGTGTTATTTATTTCTGCAGTCATCTGTTTCTCCTGCCCGTTATCCTGACCACAGGATATTATTGCACTTACAGACAAAACTAGCAATTTGAAACTACATGTAAAAACGACAAGTAGCTTTTAAAAAAAAAAAATATTGAAGCGAGCAAAACCCAGTGAGCACACAGAAATTACAAATTTGCAGGAGAATTTTTGGGTTACTTACTCTCATCTAAGTCTTAGAAGATGGCCCTCCACCATACAACGATATGTTACTTTCTTAGTAAGATTAATGAATACTTTTCTATGCAATATTTGAGCTAAAGGTGAATTAATACATCCCAGACCTCCTGACTCCTACTCACATAGCTATGCCGTATCAGTGTACCAGTTTTTTGTGACACCATCTCACAGTGCCAATACAGTGCTTTGCAAGATTGTGACAGAGTGCAACACATTTTCATATAGGTAACATATTAGATGACCAACAAGTCCCTTTTCTAAAAATGTCATTGAAATTTTGACTGTATCAGTAAGTTGTCACATATTTCCAAAACAAAATTTGAATTCAAGTTTACTAACCTTTCTCCCGGTGATCCACACATTATCCCAGTCAACAGGGAAAAAGCAAACTTCTCAGTCACCTCAGCAAGCAGGCTATATCCTCGTGTGTCCTCACGTTTCGGGCTAGCCAGAGCACAGAGTATCTCATAGAAAAGACGTCTACTTTTATCAGTGAGTAACTGTTTTTTACCTACATCTGTAACCTAACAAGAAGAGAAGAGATCAAACAACATTTTATGCACAGAAGTCTGCTTATAACATTTCCTCATGTTGAACAGTTTAGTAAGACTTCTATTTTTATCCCAACATTCATTCAGAAAGTTCAGAATATTTTTTCCTCCTTCTGATCACTGCTATGGTTAGGTCTATGTCAAAACTACATAAAAATATGCTTACTAATAGGGACTTGATTATTAAAGAAAGTATTTTTTAATTTTTCATTCTTTCAATAATCAAAGATTTTTGAGTCCTGAGAATTTTTCACGTTATTTTCTCCGTTTGCTGTGTCAAAATAGCAACAATCGCAAATGAACTGTTGTTCACGAATACGGTTATACCGCTTTGTGTCTAGGCATTTAAACCTATTTTCCAGCTCCTGTGCATTATTCCACAAGTCCAGAAGAGCCAGAAAGTCGTAAAACTAGTCCCAGCGCTTTCACAGAACTTGATGCAATGCTGAAGTGCTCAGCTACCCTGCCAACCTGATTCCCAAAGCTACTGCAGGACTAAAGACAAGCTGCGTGCCAGGTTAAGGTAACAGCAGACTCCAGCTGGCCCTGGTAGGATGTGCTTATGTGTTGGCTGCAGCCAGCTGTGAAGATATGAGCAAACCTTGGGCCTCACTGTCTCATGCCAGTGCTAAAACCAACAAAGATGTGGCCTGAGAATCAAGAAATCATAATAAGCTCTATGAAAGTATGGCACCGAAGGCAAAATTTTGCACAGCAGAAAATCCTGAACTATAGGTATGTACGCAAAATTAATACTGGTTGCTGCTTTCAACCTATTTGATTTTATTATTTCCTGCCACTATCCTAACTAGTGGCAAACAATCTTCCTCCTTGATTGTGGGACTTCATAATGTTTATTTTCACCTTTGCAGTCTGCGCCCCTGAGTCACTGCTGTGGATGCCAACCTTGACCTGATCACAGGCCTACATGTTATTATAGTCTTATTAAACTCATTGGTCATTCAAGAAAGAGCAGGAAAGGATTACCTTGTCTATTATATGCATCACAGCAGTAAGTTGCTCCTCTGTAGTTTCTGTGGCCACTTTGACATTCAGGTTCTGGAGGACTCTGTGTAAAACGGTGTCATCAAGAGGCTGATGCAGTTGATCAATCAGCCCCCAAACTGGCAAGGAGTCCAACTCTGAGACAATGGTGACGTTAGCAATACCATACACGTCATCTACTCTGGCACCTCCTGTGGGATTAGAAAGTACAACCTGGAAACGTTTAGGAAATGGGTTTAAAGATCCTGTCTTTGGAGTCAGGGTCACATCCAGAAACGTATTTCTCTGTCCAGGTTCAAAAGTCAATAAACCTTCAGATCTGGCAAAATCTTGTCCTGCCACAGCTGGAGATATGAAGGTCCGACCAATAGGTTCAGGTTTGTGTAGCTCCTTAAAACAAACCAAAAGAGTTTTAGGTAACATTACGATAGATACGATCATTCAAAACCAACTGCTGTAGAACACACAGATTTTAAATGGGTAAAATTTAAATGTGTAAAAAGAAGTCCTCTTTCAAAATGCAGTTAAGAATGATGTAACAATTACACTAAATGAAGTATCTCCCTGAAACAGCAATCTGTCACTTGTAGTCAGTGACAACCTAGGGGAAGAATTATATGTAGTCAATAGTAAATATGATCCCTCTCTTTCTTTTCCGCAACAAAAATCATAAAGCTTTTCTGGGTGAACAGATATTACAGAAATGTTAGCACATCCGTAAGGTGAATTCCAGAGGGGCTGATGCAAGTTTATGCCTGTAGCATGAAGTCCCTCAGTTCAGGGTACAGACAGGCATTACAGATACATAAAAACTAAACAAAAACAAGGGAAAGGTTTTGGAAATCTGTGCCCAAACTAATATCAACTCATTGTATTTTCAGTCCCAGTATAAATACTTAAAAGAACAACCTATTTAAGTCCAAAGGCAAAGCAAACACTATAGGATACACATGCAAGGCAGACAGATGAACTTATCTAGGAGTGCTATCTGGCTTCATTTCCCTGTGAAGTAGCACTGGTTTTACCTTCCATGAGGTTTGCAGATACTGTTTCATTCTTCACATTCTTGCTCTTTTTGTCAGTTGCCATAACCTTGATATTACATCTGGTAATATAATAAACTTTCCTTAAGTGGAAACTAACATTCTGTGCTATTATTCAAATGTATGATTTTTCAATAGTACTTATTCATTTAGTAAGTACAGATTGTGTAATGATTTTTAAGTAAAGGTCTCCTACTGTAAAAAACAAGGATTTTTATTTGTGAAATACTAGACCCCTTTTGAAAACACTGACTTTTAATTAGTAGTGTTTACTTATGGAATAAATCAGACATTTTTTTGAGTTCATATGAGAACTTGGTAAATAATGCAGTATGTATCTCTTCAAAATTGCTCTAGAATATGATCACATCATCTGCACAAATTCCAGTGAGAAGTTTCCTTTTGTTTGTGGATTCCAATTGAGAATTAGGAAACGGGGAAATAAGTGGTAATAAAAGCACTAGTGACAAGAACAATGCTCAAGAAGCCTTTGTAGTAATGAGATAAACATCTGTTTCCAGTTAGCACCTCACGCTTCCTGTCTTCTGTGACCCCTTATTTTGCAGGTACCAACAGTACCAACACTTTGGGCTTGGCCATGTACCCTCAAAACCTAAAAATGTCCAAAGAAGGGTTGTTATATAAAAAATATGAATAGACAAAGAATTGCCTCCTATATTTCAGTTTAAAGATACCCTGGACAATAGCAATTTCTTCTACATTTAAGAGCTAGATTATAATGAACTCTTGACTGGAAACAACGTGAAAATTTGTTAGCACACATTCTAACTAAAACACTGGTCAGCTACTGTATAACAAATGCATGCAAACACCATGTAATCCTATACAGTTAAAATAGATATGCATGCAATACAACAAGAGAATGCAAAACCTTTTCTTATAAAAGGTGATGGAAGTACACTGGTGACACAATGCTTCTTTATAATAATCCTCCCCTGAAATAATGCTTTTAGGCATAAAATCAAACACATTCAACGCAGACCAAGCTAAGCACTATACTAACTATGAGGAAACTGAAGGAATCATGTTTTTGCAGCTGTGTTACTTCTGCTAAAGGAGAATATTCATCATCTGTCAATAATAATGAGTTACTCAGAGATAAAAAGGTCAACAGTTAGAAGAGTCTGGTGTTTCAGCTGTAAACATAACAAAAATGAGTGGGGATGGTAAAATTGACAAGCATAAGACATTTTCAATCAGAAGAACAATTTTCAAGTTTAGTATTTCAAGAACATGGAATAAAATTTGATGAAAGTACTCTTTCTCTTTTCCCAAGTGTGCTCTGTATATTAATAAACTTGTGACCTAAACCAGCAAGTGTGTTGGTATCTGAATCTTCATAGTCTCACCCATCACGATAAAAACTTAATTTCAGAATAAGCCTCAAAAACTGAAGTCTCATAAGAACCTTAGGACAAAGAAAGAAAAGTATTTAATGCCTGATTGACTGTAGTCTTTAAGGCCACTGGAAGGTACTATGAAGAAAATCACTCTTGGCAATGCAATGAAAACAAGGTCTTTCTACTAATGGAAAACCAATGTTAGACCATAGAAGCCCAGCAAATGTTTGACTCTTTTCTGAAAAATTACTGTCACATTTACTTTAGAGAATGAAAAATTATTTAATAGTAAAAATAAGTTAAATAATAAAAATAATAACAGAAGTCTTACCTGCATGCTATAGCTAGCCATTGTGGTTACTGATGTACTAGAATCTCTAAGCACTTGCAGACTGATTAAAGTTGTCTTCTTATAAGCCACAGCAAAACGAGATCCCACAGCAAAATAAACTAAACCACGAGGAGCATCACTTTCAAGGACTGTTATAAAAGCAAATCTGGCACTGCTGTTCAATGCAGCTCCTGTGCTTACGGCATACAGCTCAACAAAAAAATACGTTTCAAATTCAGGTACCTGTAAATGAGGGATGATTTTGATATCATTATTAGACCTACTAATTGCTTTCAGCTTTAAAAAAATGTACACATTATTTTGTATGTGCAATGGATTACTTGTACTAACAATTACCAAAAGCATTCTTCTTGAAATGTGCAGCAAGTACAATGAAGTATATCCTAAAAATAATAATATTGCAGCAGGCACCACTCTTGTCATGTGCAATAATGACATCTCTGGTTTTCGCATGGAACTTTACTGCAATAAAGCAGCTATTTATACACTATGTGTACCATATTTGCCATAAGACATGATGGCAAACTCTTAGAGAGCTCCATTTTCCAGATTATAGAGTTACACAGCTATACACTTCATGAGGAATTTTCTCTTTCACTTTAATTTTGCCTTACAAAAAGGCATGTATACACCTACTTACCTATGAAAAAACTGCACAGAAGCCTGAGTATGCAGTTTCAAATCTGCAATTAATATTGACTGTATTCAAGTATTGAACTCTAGTAAAGTTTTGAAAAACATTTTACATACAGCCTTAGTGTACACTAACACGTTTATACATATTTTTTACAAGAAAATCTCACTAGATTTGAACGCTTAACTGAATTTATCCAAAATCCCAAAGCCTGGAGATACTATGTGGTAGACTTTTGTGAGGTTTACGATGTACTGAAACCTTGTGTCAGTATGGAAATACAAGCTATTGAATTTTAGTGTTCATATATCAAAGAATTAGTCTAGTCAATTCTACAAACTTAATGCCTGTTTATTGAAAATAAGGTAGCAATATTAAATTTCAATATATCATGTTGCCCTATCTTTTATTTTCTACCTACAATACAGACATAATATGTTTAGAAATACACATCTAATTACTGAAATTCCAGAAATAATTGGAAATATGTTATCTGAACCTATTACATGCACTCATGAAGCAGCAAGCTAGGAAAAAAATTAGTTCTTTACACAACAGTAGCAGTACAATAAAAAAGATGATCATTGAAGACAATTTTTTATTAGTAAACATAGCTTTTTGTTTGAACTCTGTATTTTTTTAAATCCTACTTTAATTCTAGGAAAGCAGGATTCAGCTTTTAGCTAATAAAGTCAGTACAACTGACTAAGTAAAAATTTTCAAAAGCTAGAATACGTTATACCATATGCCATAAAAAAAATGTAAAATATTTATTGAATGTATTTATTACTTCATCATTTCACAGTGTATTTGTTACTAATTTATAAGCTATCTTATGGAAGAAGAACCGGAAGATTTAGGAAATATTTGGGGCGGTTCAATAGCATATATTTTTAACGGAGTTGTTGTTAGGTAATTCTTTAAATTGAATGATCTTGACTAATTGATGACAGGCACAAATTTACTGGAATGCTACAGGGAACTTCAGCCTTCCATTAGTGCCTGTTAGAGTGGCACATGCTTGCACTTCATGTGCTACAACTGCATGGCTCTGCCACTACCGCACTGTTGTCATTAAATAATGACATCGCTCCTTTGGACTAAACAGGTTCAAAATCCCAGTTTACTCAGTGAGGCAGTCTGTGCCCCAGTCATATATATGTATTATTCATTGGCTCTGTAATTTAAAAAAACATCTGAAGATGAAGAAGGAAAATGGCCGTCTTTATTACAGAACTAAGAGAATGCATCCTACTCACTAGTGGGAAATCATTATTAATCAGTATTAATCACTGTTAAAACCCTATTAAGTATTGCAGGAAATCACTATTTCCCACAGCCTACGTCTTGCATTATTTCCTAGAATGTAGTCAGAAAAACTACAGAAACCTTCTCATCTTGTCCTTTTCCACTCGCCAGACCTCAGCTTTGCCACTGGCCTGGCTGTTAGGATACTTTCTTGGAATGTTTCAAGCTCTCCACTCTGAAAGAATGACAAACATTAATCCTTCCTTTCTTAAGGGGATGGTTTAACCACTAGCTATTCACACAAAATTTTTTTTTTCCTTCTATTTTCAGTAAAAACAACTGAATGCTGTGCTTTGTGTTAATTCAATGACGTCTGCATTTGTGAGTGCCAGCTCAAGGCACTTAGGCTTAGGCGTACCCAACTGACAAATGCCAAATGGCTTCAGTGGATGATGGCTGCTAAACTGAACGCCGCTACTCGCAAGCTGGGTGTGCACAGTGACAGAGTTTGAGACACTCAGAGATTCTTATGCAGCTTTATGATTGAGTATTCACAGTTCATTGTGCTAGATTTAGGCATGTAGAATTGTGCACAAGTTGCAATAAAAGTTTTTTTGCTGAACAAGGTGCTATTACTCACAGGATACGCTTTCCATAAACCACTTCCACTAAGAAATGCTTGGAGTATGAAGGATGAGTCCAGTATATGAATACTCATCTCACTGAAGTTAACTCCATTCTTTTTTTCTTATTGTTCTGTAAAAATCTGAGATCTGCAACTTACTCTTCAATTCAAATTAAATACTCATCTCCTTCCCAAATTTTTACCAGTCACAATGGAGGTAGTACAAGCCTGTAAGAAAACATGTGTTTGCAGAGGAACGGAGCAGATGTTAAGTTACCGTCTTCAAACTGTCCCCTACACATCAGTTCCTCTGATCAGAGGAGTTTTTTCATCTTGATAAACTGCAATTCAACACCATAGTGCTGTACACAAATAAGCAATAATCACTTACATTATCAGGTTTTATTTCAATGGAGATGTTGCACATTGTTTGACCTGCCAGGCAGGTAGTGGCTCCCAGCACAGATACAAGTTCATTCTCCAAGTTCATGCCATCCTCCAGAAGGACAACAGCTGTTTTATTGAAGGTCACACGCCAAAAGATCTCCACATCTTCAAATGCCCTATAAGCAAAGCAAAGGAGTAAATATGTACTGAAGGAGAGCACTAACGCTTTAGGAAACATAAACCACAGAGATAACATACATTTTATGTTATTATTCAAAATTTATTGTTAGGGAACAAACTGCTTTAAGATGAAAAATTATCTCTTTATTTAAATTCCTTCCTCTAAAACTTGTTTAGATTACCAAAAAGTAACACAGGAAAAAAATAAAGCAATTACAGGCAGCCAGATTCTTCTCAATTTTTGTTTCAGAAAACATGAGATTAGCTGAATAAGAGACACCCGTGCTTAGAAGACAGGGATGTGCCCAAGTACTTTCCTTAATACTACAGTAACCATGTGCCTGGAAAGCCAGGAAGAATTTGTCTTTCCTCTAAGTTTAAGGAACTTAGCATACTTGAGTATATTTGTTTAAATTACACATGAATGTGCAACTTACGTTTGTGCTAATTAGAAAAAACATAGTATCTGTGTGAGTGAAGACATAAGCATAGTACTGACACTTAGGTATCTTCTTAATTGTTAGTATTCATGCCTACATTATACAACACAGGGAGATGAGAATTTGAATTATACCTTTAGCAGTGCAAACACTTTACCTTAAGCAACACTTTCACACTTGCACTTATAATTACAGTGTAAGTTAGAAAATATTTGGTTTTTCCGTTTCTGCTTTGTAACAGTGCAGTGACAGACCGAATCACATTCACAACTTAAAAGCCTGTTTGCCAACTTCTGGGAAGTTATTAAAGGAGCTAAAAGTCAAAGATCTATTCTAAAACTCTGTGATAACCTCCTCCACTGACAGCAGCTTCTTTGACTCAACATATTACAGCGTGTGGGAAGGGCACTTGAATAAGCTGTTGCCGGCACCTGTTTGGTTGCCTTGCGACAATCAGTAGCACCTCTCTGTTTTCTGAGTCTTCATCCAGTACAAGACCACTTTGTACTTCTGGAACAAATCCCAAAACGCCATTCTGGAAATCATTTCCTACATAGGAAACAATCCATGAAAGTAATTAGCAAGAGCTGAGCCTAAATTACAGTTTTAATGTGGATAACTGCTAAAAAAATAAAGACCAGGTATCAAAAGCATGATGCAAAGTACCACTTGGGGATGCCTCAAGAAAATTTCTTTTAGTATTTCTATTCTTAACTTACACTCCATGCTTATCTAGAACTTCAAATGTTGGAATTTCTAAATTTCATTTGAAGCAGTGGAACAAGTATTTACAAAGTAAATTCCTTGTGAGAGTCCTGGCACCATCTATAGACAGAAGCTTGTATTTTCAGCAACATTCAGACTGAATTCTGTGTCCCTTGACTTCAAGAGACTAGGCGTTGCAGTAGTCCAGAACAGTGTCAAAAACCTTCCCTATAATGCCCTTAGGAGATATCACTTCAGGTATATTGTTCTTTGTTTACTGTAAGCCCTAAAACATATTCTTTCTAAACAGAAATGGGCCTCAGTGTGCCCCTACGTGGACACAGTAGGTTATGGGATAAAGATGGGCTTCCAAGGAGAGCTTTCTTATTCATCTTATTCATCTGGTTGACAGCCGGCTGAACATGAGCCGGCAGTGTGCCCAGGTGGCCAAGAAGGCCAACAGCATCCTGGCCTGTACCAGCACTAGTGTGGCCAGCAGGAGCAGGGCAGGGATCGTGGCCCTGTACTGGGCTCTGGTGAGGCCACACCTCGAATCCTGTGTTCAGTGTTGGGCCCCTCACTCCAAGAAGGACATTGAGGTGCTGGAGTGTGTCCAGAGAAGGGCGACGGAGCTGGGGAGGGGTCTGGAGCACAAGTCTGATGGGGAGCGGCTGAGGGAACTGGGGGTGTTCAGTCTGGAGAAGAGGAGGCTGAGGGAAGCCCTCATCGCTCTCTACAACTACCTGAAAGGGGGTTGTGGTGAGGTGGGGGTTGGTCTCTTCTCCCAAGTAACCAGCGATAGGACGAGAGGAAATGGCCTCAAGTTGCGCCAGGGGAGGCTTAGATTGGATATTAGGAAAAATTTCCTCACCGAGAGAGGGGTCAAGCATTGGCACAGGCTGCCCAGGGAGGTGGTGGAGTCACCATCTCTGAAGGTGTTCAAAAAACGTGTGGACGTGGCGCTTCAGGACATGGTTTAAGGGGCACGGTGGCATTGGGTTAACGGTTGGACTTCATGATCTTGAAGGTCCTTTCCAACCTTAGTGATTCTGTGATCCCATCCATAATGTTGTTGAACCCATTCACTTTCCCAAACCATTATATCAGCTTTTCTCCTGCACCTTTAATTCAGTGTGTGGAACTAGGGAGCTGCAAAATACTGCATTGTTCTCATGGGAATGTAAATAACTCAGCAAAACAGCAGTGGAGGAAAAAACCCCAGGGTTAATGAGGAGAAACTAATGTCTTCACAGTGTTCCATTAAATCTTGCTTCTAGAGGATTTCTCCTTTACAGGTAGTGATGGTTTTACTCTGCAATTGGGAAGGCAATCTAGTTCCAACACAGTGCATATTAAATGTCAATATATATTCTGAAGATTAACAAATACTCTTTTTTTCTTATGCGCATGCACGAATATCTAACCTGTGGTATCTTTCTATCTCTACAGTTAAATGCAGATACATGTTTTGAACCTTCTCCTTAACATACGTTGTTTCCTGATCTTTATGTGCTTATTGTACTCAGGGCGTAACTCTAGGACATGTTAATACATGTGGATTTAATACAAGTTCAAATTCCAGCCTGTGCCTGTGCACAGACTTCTTCGGTTAACTTGCACATATGGGCAACCAGTTCCTTCCATGGTGAACTCTGGAGATGATGCACATGACAGGAACATGTGATTTATACAATCTCTTCTGGTATACATAATTTTGGTTGCTGCATACACTCATCCAACGGCACAGCTTAATCCTGGCTTGCAATATCTACCTTGTTTTGTTAAGACTATCTAAATACACAAAACTTCCAGTATAAGTTGGACCTTACATATAATTTTCTTGATTAGCTTGAACTGTTACAATTCACAGCTTGTTTCTAAAACTTAATCTGTATTGCAGTTAAACTTGGTTTATAATCAATTGGTAGGCCTGATAGGTAACTAAAACGTCAGGGAAATTGGAGCTCTGACATCCTTTCCTCACAGTAGCATGCAGTGACCAAAAGAAAATTCTTCCCTGGTGTCTACGTAAGCCCATTCCTATCCTCCATCCCCAGAAGCAGAGGATGACTACACTGCAGATAAGAATGAAAACAGAAACTGCTTTTTATACTATGTACAAACACCATGCAATGTAGAAGTGACAAAATGGCAAACAAAACCAGAAAAGCCTGCAATGCTACTACATCTGCAAAAAAAACCTCTCAAGCTTAGCCTTTTCCCTTCATGAAGTAAATCGGGACAAGAACAGATATAAGCAGCATCTATAAATGTATTTTGAGGGACGTTGCTAAGGGATACATGGTAGGCTGGGTGCATTAGATGCTTCCTCTGATCTAGAAAACTCAACATTTGGGAATACAATACCCTGCTTATTGACAAATAGAATTCCAATCTTTATATGAAAATTGCTACGAGAACATACAGTTATTTACTGTTATTTAATTCAGCTGTATTTACTGAATTTCTGGGGGAAAAAATATTACCTGCAATAATTACTGTTGCAAAAGAAGCGAATCCATATTCATCTTTTCCTTCCACAATCTGAGCTCCACATTCAGGATTTGAAAGGAAAACATAAAACAATTCCTGTCCTTCAGGCTCATCATCATCAAAAATTTTTATGGACACCTTACTTTCTCCTTCTCCATCCAGTAAAGTCAGAGGGACTGACTGTTCCTCAAAATCTTCTCCTTCCATTGCCCATGTGAAGTTTGATTTTCCGTAAACACTTCCAAACGGATAGGAATCTACTCCACTCTGTGCACTCACTCCCCCAAAGGTTTTAACAGTTACTTCAATATCGCCAGTAAAACCCTCAGTCCTTCTGATATGAAGTATCACTGTGTTAGGGGTACTGTTGTTTGCATCTTCTTCAACATAAATAAACTCTGGCCCCAAACTTAGTATTCCATGACGAATATCATTAGCCAGGATATTAACTGTTGCAACACTGAAAGCTGGATTCAAACGTGGACTCCAGGCAGCATTCACAGGTTGAACATCCAAAATTTCCACAGCAGTCAAATTTACAAAAAAAAATTCCTCCATTTCAGACACAGTGTCATCAATTATTAATATTTCTATCACAGCATTTGTCTGAAAACGTAAAAAAATAAGCTCTCCATTGTAGATGGGTATAAAGTCCTCTAGTGGTTTGGCACTTCCTGGAATGGTCTGATATGTCAATTTAGTGAGATTACTTTGAAAACCAAACAATCTTTGGACATGTAGTGTGACTGCCTGAACGTTTTCTTCAACTGAAACAGACCTTGAGTTAAGAGCAAACTGAAAGATCCCCATTGGCTCAATTTCAGCTATTGTAAATCCTGATCTGAAACCGAAAACATATCAATGTCAAGTGAGGAAATACGAAGCATGAAAAGTAAAACACCCAAGCAGAATAATTTCAATGGCTGTAAGAAAGTGGATTAAAAAACTGTGTTAACAGTAGAGGGAAGAAATAGCAACCATACAAAGCAAGATGTAAAGACGTTCCCTGAAAAATATTTTTGCAATGATTGGATCGAACACAGGCTTAATGCATCCTGAGTCAGCACAGGATCCTTTACAGAGTAAAGGATAAAAAAAATAAGGCCTTCCTGAGAAAATGGAGAGGCAAAGGAAAGTATGATGTTTTTCTATTTTGGACACAACACAGGGAGATACATTACAATACAGGCTCCCCGAGTAATACCAGCTTTAACTGCAGAATCAACTTTCTGTACCAAGAAAAAGCTGTAGGGTAGACAGAGTCTAGCAGATCTACAGTTTTAGCCAGAAAACTGGAGAAGGAAGGGAAGTTATTTTAAAATTTAAGGTGGGGCTTTGAAATACTAACTGATCCCCCCCCAACATTACTCATAGTAATTTTTTACAGATCTGAGCCCTATTATCTATACCAATTTAAGCTCTACTTTGTTCATATTAAATATATCCCCTTCTTACTGGAAAACAAGAATAGAGACTGAGACTCTTTGCTATACCTTGGGTCTTACACTTATCTCTAGAACTGACCGACTATTCAGTGCTAGAGGCTACCAAATGGCACTACAATTACAGTGAGCGATGTTGTTTGACAAACTAGACCCTTTCCACCACTAAGGGAGCCAAAAACTCTTCAAAGTAATTGTCAGCTTTACCTCTTGTGGGATGTAGTCTTAAGTTTTCTAAAAAAGGTCATTCTCATATACTCAAGGTATTTGACTCACACAGTAAATAGATGCTCTGAGGAGACCAGTCCACAGGACAGACAAGCCTAGGAGAAAGGGTCAGTCTCAGGAGTTTAGACATCCAGTTCATTCCTGACTTTCTTCAGATTTGCCAGTGCAATTGTAATATGCTGAAGCCAACACCTTTCTCCATACGCAGTGTTACTCTATGTCCACTCTTTTTATACCAGGTTTAGCTATTGATGATTAAGGAAGAATGAAAAGGAAATAGTTCAAAGAATAGATAACAACTTAGATAAGATGGAAAACTACATTAAATGTTTTTAAGAATAAAAAGAGGGTTTTAAATGTTAGGTGTTTTCAGAGCATTTCTTGATAAATTTTATTTATTCTAAATAATGTTTGTTACCTATAATTTTTTAAATATGGATTCTTAGGGACACTAAGGAAAACTGTTATTGTTGCTTTTGTTCTCCAGCTTCCTGGCTAACACTGCTGATCTTGGTTCTTCATTTTCTTAACTGCCTCCATCATTCTAGACGCATTCTAGGCAGCTTGGATCGCAATGATATGAAATAGACTGGAGTTGTAGAAAAGCCTCACTTCTGATCAGATCTGCAGTATTGACACTTGTTTCTCCCCAAGACAAGACATAGAAATTCATCAAAGGTGACACCACAAGTTGCTAGCTACCTATAATTTAACAGGGATTTGTATGAAGGTATGTGCCTGTACACAGGTCATAATTCTTACAGCGTCTGTGTGACTCGAAAGTATAAGCAATACCCTTACCTCAGGCGAGCCCCACCAGACACATTGCTGTGCGCTGCTGTTAAAGTGATGGCAAGTGACTCGCGTTTGTTTAGGCTTGGAGTGGCCTGAAATGAAATTACTTTACTTTGCTCACCAGAGGAAAATACAACAGCACCTGAAGGGAAACAGAGCGCGAGAGAGAGCCCAAGTCAAAATCACTGAAGAGGAATCCTCCTCTTACCCGGGAACGTGCCGAGACAGGGACTGTCATCACAACCCCACTCTCTTTAGGACGAAGAAATCTGCACGAGAATGTCCTTCCTGTTTAAAGCATTGTGCTTACCTCCCAGACTTAGATCTATGAAGCTTAGTTCTTTTTTGATCATAAAATAAACGTATCCCTTACAGACAAAAATTAGACCATACAATTTCATTCTAATGACGCTTCATTAATAGAGGAAGCATGTAATGTCACAGACAACTGAAAGGTGGTATCATCACTAATGCAAACTGAGCAGTTTCCTCAGACAAGTACTTACCAAACGGAGGAGTAATATTGCCTGGCTGAGCAAAGTCAGTGATTAGGACTGGCGGGTATCCTGAAATCCAGCTAACTATTACAGAGCCATAAACTCCTTTTCTGGTTATGACAGCTTTGCCTGTTCCTGCTACGATGTCTGTAAGTCGTAAAATCGCAGATTCGAAGCCAACCTGTGGAAACATAATAGATTCTGTTACAGAAAATGGAATAAAAATGGGAAATAACATATATGAAAGCGTTTTAAATTTTGTAAAATACAGATTTCACAAAAACATGTGTGTATATGTATGTATGTATGTGTGTATATATAGGCATGTGTGTACATATAAATACATTCTTCCTTCACAACTCTTCAACAATACTTCTAAATCTGAGATTTTTAAGAATTAGAATTTCTCAGGGAAAAGGAACCAGTACGACTGACGTTTCAGTATTGAAAACACTGAATATAGCATTCTGTGTCTGTTCTTTAAAAGAAAAATAAACCAACCTGCCCTTGATGCTCACAGGCAATAACTGTGGGACTATATATACATAAGTCTAAAATAAATTATTAATTGTGTACCCAGTGAAACATGAGTTGCTGCCACATGACATTGTTCACAAAATTATTCTTGCTAATATGATCTACTTTACTTGTTCTTTGAGCAGCAAATGGGACTGAAAGGGTAATTTGCACATTCTAAAAGCAATGGTAAGTGGATATATGGTAGCAAACGATGTTTACAGAAAGACCATTTCAATTAAGTTCAATTACAAATGGAAAGACAGAACAGTGTCTCAAGACAATTAAAACCATTCAACAGAAACTTCAATAAAATTTAACGGATAAAAACTCAGTATGCTATTGTCTTTTCCTGACATACAAAAAGAGAACTGTAGCACAAATTCTCTTTTCTCATTCTTGTATAAAGTAGACAAATGGAAAATTTCCCACTCAGTGATTAGCCAAATAGGCCATCGACAGCATTAAAAATCAGTACGACCTCCATTTCTTTTTGAACATAGTACTGCATACACGCTGTTACCTACTTTGGAGCTGCTATACTTAAAGGAATAACATTGTCCAGAATTAGTTATTTTCCTTTAAGTCTCAGAACTTTTCAAACTGTATTAACACATTTCTATAACAATCTGTGTCAGAGAAAAGAAAATACAGAGTACAAATAGTAACTGGAAAAGTCTTGTCAGTCATTACATTGGTTGTAATGATGAAAACTTCAATGAAAACCCAACTGAATTCTTACAGCAGCTATCTTTTGTAATGAAGTGTTACCCTCCTGTGCTAGAAATGTTACACGGCAGCCCGTCCACTGACCTGTGAATTGGCAGCTTCCTCAGGAATAAGCAGAACAGCTGACTTTGCTTTTCCTAATATTTTAGGCACATCCTTGGCACTTCCCCTAACCAGGCTTACATTAATCAGTTCCAGAGTAAAATTCAAGCCAAGTAGAAGAAATGCCTTGAGAAAGAGAATTTAAGTTAAAGGTAGAAATTTAATTCCTCTAAAAAAGTGATATGTACCAATTCAAAGAACTAAGTAGCAGAACAATCTGCAGATTTTGTTCTACTTGCCTACAAAAAGCAGTGTTTTCAATACAAGTGTTTTCTTGATGATGTTTCTCAAAAGAAATACAGCTAAAACATCAATATTGTGAATGTGATATACCAGCAGTTTGTTGGAATGTCAGTTTTCAGAGCAACTACTGCAATGTTATTAAATTGTATATAACACAGTGGGCCTCAGTTTGATTTTAATTCTCAGGATTAAAAAGATGTAAGAAAGATGGATGTGAAGGGAGGTAACTGTGGGTGTAAGACTGTAGTAATAATAACAAACAGCCAGGGAACACAGAGAACTGAAGGTAGATTTATCTGCTGCTTCGTGAGTCAGCACTAACAGATCACCATTTACAATTCAAAAGGGAAACTTGAGAAAATATTTGCATACCTATAATAAAAAAATATTGAACTGATAGTAACACCAAGCAATGATAGAAGGAAAAACTGAATATTTGCAGACGTGCATAGCAGTGATTTTGTAATTATTATCTGAAAATGTGGTATTTAAACCCACTTCAATTCCATAAATAGGAAAGTCACAATACTAAAACTCTCTTCTCTGTGTATACTTCTGCACAGTGGATACTATTGAGAGTTTAGTGTCTTACTCCAGCACAGTTATATTGTGGTGAATACAAATGGAATCAATAGATGTTGTAGGAACTAAAAGGACAATACAGACCTGGCTGCTTATTGGCACTCTTTTCACTCCAAAGCTGGCACCATCTTTTACCGTGACGTACCCCATCTCATTCCCAGGTGCAATTACTGCTTCTTCATGAGGAGGTAAGATATGGTACTGAACGATCACTTCTCCAAATGCCCCAGCATGCCGAGTTACATTGATCTGAACACACCGGTCCAGGTTTTTCTCTACTAATAGTGACTGCTGATCAGAGTACAGGGCAAACACTCCATGGGGGTCATCATTTGCAAAAACATTGATCTTTGAAATTCTTTTCTCTTGGTCTAAATCGGCTCCACCTTCTACTGAAATCAGCTGCACCACATAGTTTTCATCCAGTTCTGGAACATCATCAGGTAACAGGTAGATAATTATCTCAGCTGTACTCTGCCCGTCAGCAATGACAACAGATCCCTCTGTCCTAAGAAAGTCACCTGTGATGTCAGATTCACTATGTATTTCCCAATAAACCTGAAAGCAGTTTAGAAAATGAACAAAACAAAAGAAAGCAAAATTACCCGCAGAGCAGAGACTTTCATATCCAGGATCTAGTATAGAGAGATATGGAAGAGATTGGTTTGAAGTAGGCAAAACTGAAACTGGTTTAGGTATGCATAGAAAAAGGCACGCCGACTATCTTACAAAAGGAGGGTGTGTTGTTCCTTTAGCAGTACTATGAATGTAAAGATTTCCGTTGTATACCCTCAGAAGATTTACTTTAAACTATATGGAATCTCTGTACCATGAAAAAAAAAACATTTCTACTTTTGCACCAAGACATCCTCACTGGTCTTCCTCTTCCCAAGATTCCTCACATTAGAAAGGGGTGAAGAGTTCTCATGAAACACAGCAGATGCTCATATTAATTGATTATTTTTTTTAATTAAACAAACAACTGTTAAAATGCTGACTTCTGAACAACTTTAGATAAAAAACAATGTAAGTGATGGTTCAAAATAACCCGACTCTTACCTTTAAGTATGCCTGGAATAAAGCAAATTGTGATGATCTTAAAGAAAGCTCACTATGTAAATATGTCCTGTTCTGTTCTCCCATCGAAAGCACACAATGAGAGCGAGAGAGAAAGAAAGAACAGCTCTGCAGTACTGGTTTGTGGTTTGGGTTTTTTTCCTGACCAGAGGACACTGAATCTGACTTTCCAAACCACAAGTACTAACACTGAACCCTTGCTAAATTCAGTCTAAAATGCAACATTTCAAAAACGAATTTGAGATACAAGCAATTGAAAGGCATGGAAAAAAATATTCCTCCACACTGAGGATGATTTCAGATTATATTGTTTATTAGGAAAGAGT